TGCAGTTGTCGAAGTATTTATACGGATGCTTTGACCTTGGATGCGCACGTAACATGAAGATGCTGCGGGCAAATAGGGGGGGGGGGGTGTGGGTAACATTAGATATGTGTCGGAGTATAGGGGCCCCTTTGCGTTGTATTAGTATAAGCGGAAAGAAGTACAACAGGTACATTGGGTTGATCAAACCCAGCTTCCACCATCACGCATAGCTTCGTTGGCATGCGTTTGCATGATGGCCGCATGCTCGCTGCTGACAGCTTGTTCGTCAAACTCGCTGGCCAGCAAAACTGATGACTCTTAGATACAGACGGTTCACACACACACATACACAAAGAGCTCCGCAACGTGGCGGATGCTTGTGAGCGCCGTCCGAGATCTGTAGCGTGCTACCACACACAGCTGCATTGCGTGCAGCTAAGGAACATCGATCATGCCCCGCAGCTCTTCATCGGTTAACTTCTCGCCGAGCTCCCGTGCAATACGCTTCAAGTTCCTGCCAGAAGATAGCTCCAAGAAGCACACGCCAGCGCTAGCAAAGTAGGCCTGAAGGAGATTCTGCCACGCTTGTCTTCGTCAAACAACTCCTTAGCATCAGAAACACCTAATCACACTCACGCAGGTCGTCAGAAATAGCTTTGACAATCGTTGACCATAGCTGACTGGTGGCACTCATACGTGCAGCTAGAACAGCTCCCCAACGTCAGACTGCTGCAGCTGGGACCAATAAAGCATCTAAACAGATTCTTGCACTTCAAGTCCTTGCATACACTTCGAAATGTCTAAATGCTCGCATCCAGTAGAGAGCTAGAAACACGGAAGCAATGCTGCAGGCTTCAGTGAACAGAGAACGGAACGAAGAGCGGGCGATCCTCAATGAGCCCTTTTCCCAAGATTTGTTCTTCTGCTGTGGCTGTCGATACCTTGCTGATACCAGCAGGACTCAAAGGAGCCACCATGAAAGCCAGCAGAACGTTGTGGAATCCGTACAAATGTGACCTCAAAACTTCATCTACTACACATCTCACCACCAAGCAGAGCACATGACCTCCTCGCCATGTGCAAAGCATTTAGACAGAGCACATGAAGCGACCTTTGTCTGCTCCAGCACCAGCCAACCTATTCCACTCTGTCCCAACAGTTGCTGCCTGCACCCTAGAAACATCCAATCATTCTCACGGCGCAGCTGCCTGCCCAACAGAGATGCGTCGTTGAAGGATGCAACCACAACTGGCCAGCATCCACTGGTGTAAGATGCTGTAAACAGCCCGGCTCAACGACATGGTAGTTTGCCACTGGCCAATTAATCAGCGGATTCTGAGATGCTCAACCCAGCGCAGTAGCATCACGGGCAACACTGGTCGACTTATGTTAGTGCTGGCTGCGAGGCTCTCAAGCAACATGATCTGCGCGCATTGCGATCCATCTCCTCAAAACCTTTACGATATGCTGGTATAAGATACTACGATTCATGCAGTAGCCGAAATACTTAGCAGCAATTTGTCGAACATAGTAAATATAGTAAGTACTCGTTGTCCAGGTACAATATTTGACAGTATCACAAAATAACCGGCTAAGTATTCAGGCTCTCACGAAAGCCGTGCCTTTTAAGCCCTAACATGCCCTAAACTCTAATGAATGTAAGCACGATGAAAAATTTCATACTGGTCGCGCTCAATACACCAGTCTCCGCATACTCAATGAAGGGCAACATCTTCATAGTGGGTGGCTGGATGCACAACGCGCATGACATTTGGACAACTGTCCAACAATTCTTGTGGGTAAGTCCCGTGGTAGGAAGTCGCAGGATGCCACAAGCCAAAAACGAACTGCTAGCTGTGCCAGAGTTTCTGCGTAGCAAGGTCCTACGTGGCTGTTCAACCTCAGTGAAAATTGATGTTGCCAAGGCTGCCAAGCGGCAAAGGCTTTGCGTATCTCATCCATGGGATCTTGCGTAGCATAGCGTTGAATCATGATTTCCTCGAACGCCTCGAAACCGATGTAGCCTCTGCACACAGTGCCATGCGTCTTGGCTTTGAAACCCAAAGGAAGGATGTTGGGATTCTGCAGATTCCTTGTTGGCTTCAAGCCAAGCAACAGGCTCAGCACAATGCTGCAGTAGCTGGAGCTGGTGCTTCCGTAACTTTGAGAGCCAGCAGCAGAAACGAAAGATAAGTGCTCATAAGCTTTTCTTGTAGTGGAAAAAGTCAGCCGCAGCCTAGTACATTTCAGCCGCAACGACTTGAGCAACACTCTGGGCGCCCCCTCGTCCCCATCGGCAAACCCCCAAAATGAAGACTCCAACACGACCAGAAATCCCTCGAAAAGGGCAGCAGCACCAACATCCCCAGCCCTGGGCGCAATCTAGCCTCCCAAACCAATCTATTTCTTCCACCCCCGTCCGAGAGGACCCCCACTACCCAGCTCACCACTTTCGAGTGCATGAACGAAGCTTCCTCACCCGGAGCTTTCGTGCTGATGCAGAAAACCAAGGATTGAATGAATGTCGTTCCCATGTTCTTGATTTCGCTGAATAGGAGTCTCACACTCCTTGATCTCAAGGCATCTTGCTTTCGTAAGGCTGATTGGGCTACATACCCGTGGCCGGACTTCATCTTCCAGTCGCAGGTCAGTCTTGTTTTTTCAATAATAGACATAGTTTCAAATGACTCCCCATTTAGCTGTACACCAAGTGCAAGGAGACTTGACATCCACAAGACTTTGACAGGAACAGAGCTTCATGAAGAGATGCAATGCTTGAACGGAAAAACAATGCTCTCCATATCTCCTTCTGACATACACTATTGCAATCCAAGGACCCGTCTCTTCGCGGTCATACCTTGCTGACTGAGGAACGTGATATGCTCACATGAGCTTGGAACATCTTGGAACTGCATGCCATGTCCAGATGCTCTGCAGGCCATTTCAGGGCGCATCCTACACACAAGCCAGACACTGCATGAACGGCGAGCATGAAATGTGGACTGATGAGCCACTGTTTTCAATTTTTCTATGCATAAAAACTGCGCCACATTTCTTTTTGTCTGATCCACCTTTGCATCAGCTCGAGAGCTTCGGGCTTCTTGATTTCGAAGCCCATGGCTCGAATGGCCACCTGCCATCAGCGGCATCTGAGAGTGCTTCTGGCCGATGTGTGGGGGTAACATCACCATACTTCACCACCTTCAGCTCGTGATAGTCCATCTTGCCAGTCCTTTCCGAGTCAAAGATGTCGAAGGCCTGCAAGCGCAGTGTCGAGGTCATAAGAGGGTCATACAAGACGTTCCGAAATCAGATACCCGCGTGCTGCCTCTTTGATTTCTTGTCTCTGCTCCTGGCGAGAATTGGCAACATCGGCGGTAATCCAAGAACGCCTGCCACAGAATCCCCTTGCGGGGAAACAGAGCCTCCTGTATGGCAGGTCTGGCCCCCCAAGGAGCTTGTAAGCCATCTTTGCAAGTGGCAACACAATTAATAGTTAGAGCTCTTGCCTGGCTGCCCCCTGCACAAACTGCCAGAAGAAGTCATGCCTAAGTCCTTCCCTGGCGCTTTTCCCCCATGTAAACGCACAATATAGGAAGTCATGCCAGGTCATGCATGCCCTTAACTTTTTGGCCATGTAGGTGCATGGAACGGCCATCTAGCTGAGTAAGGGCCTGAGTGCAGATTCATGGTTCGGCGTGGATGCACGCATGACCTCCGCGTCATCTGAACTTCACCTCTCCACGCCCCTCGTCTCTCCTCTCCCCTCCTATATCCCTCTCCTCTCTTTCGTCTCTCTCTCGTCTCTCTCTACTCCTCCCCCTCCCTTCTAGTTTCCGCGCTACTCCTCTCCTTTCCACTTTCCTCTCCACTCCTCTCCGAAAGCGACCACACTTTCGAGGATCGCGTCCCCCAGGAGCCACATCCCTGTGAATGTTAGCACTTTGGACACTCGACAAGAAGACCAGGCTCCAAAAGCGATGACAGTTAAGCCAGGGGCCCCATCCCTGTGACTGTTGGCACATGTTGGCACTTTTGATGCGCGAGAAGAAGACCTAAGGGCAAAAGCGACGACAGTCTTGAGGATCGCGACTTCCATCCCTTCAATACTTTTCAAATTCTACAAGAAGTCAAATCCAACAGCGATGACAGCTACGAGGAGTTCGACCTGCAGGGGCCCCATCCCTTTGACAAGCCTTTGACTGGTGGCACTTGAAACACATGACAAGAAATCCCAAATCCAAAAGTGACGGCAGTTACGAGCATGGCGACCCCGAGGGGCCCCGTCCCTATGACTGTTGGCACTTCTGACACTTGTGGGTCCAAGAGTGACGACAGTTATAGGGATCGCGACCCTGGTGGGTCCAAACAGGGTCCGACACTCCAGCGACACTCAAGAACGCTTCGCGAACGCTTCGCGAACGCTTGCGGACCCTTTTTGCGAATTGTTGCGTTTGTGTTCGCTTCGCAACCACCAAGCTCTTTGTTCGTAGGACCGTAGGATTCCACAGTAGGGTCCAAAGCAGCATCCAGAAAGCCAAGACCCTGAAACTGAAGTGACTTCTTCCCAACACAAAGAGCTGTAGCTTTCTCAGGTGCTTTTGCGACCGTTTGTGCAAGAACGCAGCAAACAAAAGAGCATCTCAACTTCAACGCAAGCGCAGTCAGCAGCACTCTAGAATAAGAGCACTCCAATAGCATTCCAGCAGTAATTCACGTACACTCCAGCAACATTCCTGGGACACTCTCTCCAGGGATGTCTGAGGACAATAAGAGCCGCAGCTCAAAATCATACCTTGCCAAAACAAATTTTGGGGCCAAGCAAGCGATACCCCGAAACGATACCCGAACCAGCATCCACACGCATCCTCTTGGGATCCATTGGGCTTGTCTGGGATAGTACTATAAGTGTCTAAATCCTGCAAGGACTCGCATCTCATGTCACAATGGCATTGCGCAGCAACAAGAACCAAATTGAGTTGCATGGTACCATAGCTTGAACGCTTGCAAGTGCTACACCTTGCTTTCATAGAACTAGCCGCAGCCCAAATGATTCGACATGTCATGGTGCAAGCCTAGCCCCTGAATTAGAAACGCCATTGGCAGCATTCTTAACGTTGAATTCGTGCTGTTCAACATACAGAGCGCGCTACTTGTGAAAGGGTGATTCTTGCATCGTTTCATCTGTTCTCTGCCCATGTGTGTAACAAGTAGTGCCTTCCTTGAGCTTTCGGAAAAAAGCCACCACTTCTGACTCAAGGGCGTCCTAATGTTTTTTGTTTACAGATTCAGCTTCAAGGCGCGACTTTTGCCATTCGCACGCTGTACACGCGCTAGACCTTCCCCTTTGGCGCAACCTGTGCCCTGCAACTTCCTAAGTACCTTTAGTAGCATGTTCGTGCATGTCCTGTGAGCATCAGGCACTCAGATGTCCGAAGCACTCTGATTGAAGGGCACTGAATTTTTTGGTCGTAAGATGCGAACTTTCCAAACCTGACTTTCCTGGTATGCCACGATTGAATAAAGATGGCTGGGCAGTCCTTCGACACAGATCTGGCTGCTTGTGCCGCTCGTTGATTGCGGCTCACGCCGCGGAAATCACGACCATCAAAAACATTTTTCCTGTCAGGGTTGCACGGTGTCGAGCATGATCTGTGGCATTTTCACGGCCAGCCTTGCCTGCCAGCTCCCTGCATCTGTCCGAATTATTCAGGCTTATCAGCTATTCTGCTTATCCAAAGGCTTCATGAAAGCTTGAACGGGGCTGGTGTATGCTGTGACTTGATGTGCAGCGCGGATCCACACAGTATAAAAATAGTCATAGCTGGCTGCAACATCTATGTACAAGTGCAACCCGGCTGTGATAAGGGCGCTACCGTGACATGCATGCCAAATCTGATCTGGAATGCCTGCACGCTCCCAAGCAGTTTTGTGCTTGTCTCATATCTTGGCTGAAGACTGGCTGCTCTGGGCCGAGTTGGCTGCTTAGCAAGCACGATACGAGAAAGTGCCTAGCATGACTGACCAGATCTGCTTGAAAACGCGGGCTTTCACCATCCCAAAATGTTGTTGGGGACAGCCTTCCCGTCACAAACTATTTGTCACTGTACTTTGCCGCTCGGACTGTCCGGCCAAAGTTCCTTGACCGTCGCAGACCCTTGCAGTTTGCCTCATTTGAGCTGCTTACATCCTCATCGTTTAAGACTTCAGCTAAGGCCGGAGACATGCAATCTGACACCAGATGGCATCTAGAATCTAGACTCGTCAGTGTGCTGGAACCGACTGTTGGGGCTTGCGCAGTCCAACCCCTAAGACACAACAATTGCAGGGGACATGCTTGCCGCAAGGAAAAACTCGTTACGACTTTTTCCGGGGTAGTCAGAACAAAGCCTGCCTTCCCATGTAGAGGCTGTCGAAAGCCAGGTTTCAAGAGGATGTGGCATATGATGGCTTCGTGGCAAACAGCTGACCGAAAGTCACGACAGTATGTCTAGATCCTAAGGGAGACACGCCAGATCTGCAAGCACGTCACGGCAACTCAGAAGATGGATTCACGTGTTGTTCAAGGCTTCGCTAGCATTTTATTGTGCCTGTAAACGCAGGAGTAAAGAAGTCCTAGCAAGTCCTGAGGGGAGAAGTGAGGCGAGGGGAACAGTTAGGGAGGTCGTCAGGACGTCTTGCCATTTGCAGGCTACGAAGACCCATGGCAATGCCGCGAGCGATGACTCACCGATATCCTGGGCGATACCTGCCTGTCACGCTGATCCCCGTCCAACTTGTGAACCTGTGCTACCAGGTGTTGAGGTGTATGGGGGTGAGGGCTGCGGCATAACTCAGCGCTACCGGATGGGCACCAAGTCTTGAGCAACACCATGAGGACTGGCGGTTATGACTTCGTCTGAAAGGAGGCTCGAGCACAGACCAACCCCTGCCCCGGGGTAGCCCCGCTCGATCCTTGTGAACACTTTCCACACTTGCACTTTGGCAGTCTTGTTGTGCTAAGCTTGGTATTGCAGTAGTGGCTTTTGATTTCATCTTTGCTCACTTACAGTAAGAACCCACTTACGCTATCCCAGGGCATCATGGAGTCCCAGGCAACGAGATAGCTGATTCCCTCGCTAAGAAGGGGGTCACGTCCACAGGGTCGTTAGGGCGCTTTTCTAGCTCCCATTCCCACCCATTGCAACCTCCTGATATTGGATTCAACTCACAAACTTGGAATTCGTTTTCGGTAGAAGATCAAAATACATTTATTACCTCACCACTTACAGACAACCAGCCCCTTATACTTCACCTCCCACTAATAGCCAAAAACCTTGGATCTCAAAGGACACTCTCCAGCTCATTTCGGACCTGCAATCCCAAGGGTATATAGACGTGGATGCCCTCAAGCGAGATCGTAAGCGTATAAAGAAGTAAGCCCGTAAGGACAAGAAGGTCTTTATCTCTCGACATTTAGAGACAGATTTTCACGGTACTAATATACCTCAATGGGATCATGTACGTTCTATTCGTGCATCTTTTAAGCCAAGAGCTGCTGCTCTTTACAATAAGGAGCCTCATGGACTGGTGGGAGAATTTATATAAACATGCCCCATACATTTTGCGTATGTATCTCCTTGGCCGCTACAATCATTGCTTTTGCCAGCAAAGAGGTTCCCTCTAGCTGGCCCTACTCTGAAGTTGTCATGATTGTTAAAAATTATCAGGAAGATACCCGTTCTCTTTCAAATTATCGCCCAATCTCCTTGACAAACATATCCTACAAGATTTTTGCCTCTATGGTCCAGTCTAGACTCTCTAGGTGCCTAGACAACAGAATTCGTCCAACTCAATTCGGTTTCCGTAAATCACGATCCACGACCCAACCTGAACTATACATATCCTCGGACGCCTATTGGAGGTACATGGGAGACAACCTTCTCCTTTGCATGTTTTGTTCTTAGATTGGTCTAAGGCTTTTGATTCTGTCACGTTCACTGCCATTATGTCCGCAATGCAATTTATCGGTGTTTCCACACATGCTATCGATGTTGTCATGCCCCTTTGCCATGCCCCGTCATTTGTAGTGAGAGACTCGCACAGACTTCCCCTAAGAAAGTCCAAACCAAAGGGCTCCGTCAGGGGTGCTCATTGTCTCCATACTTGTTTGGTATGTTACTCACTCATCTCTTCCGTGATGTTGAGACCCAGTATCACAACAACTTTGGGTTAATTTCAGGGGTCATCAATACCCCTTCTCCACTTTGGGATTTAGAGTACGCTGATGATACAGTTCTCCTCTCAAACTCGGCGGAGCAAATTACCAGGCTCTTGCATCTACTACCATGTGAAGGCTCTCAAAGAGGTCTCCTTCTTAATGAAGATAAATGCGAACACCTCAGGCTCAACTTGGATACTAGAGTCTTTTATGCTCCCCTTCCATACACTTCCATTTGTAATAGCGAAGTTTGTAGTGGAAACTTGTTTTCTGTAAACCCTGTCCCCCTCTCTTCAGAAGTTAAATACCTAGGAGCTTATCGTTCTACACTTGGACCCCGTAAAAATGTTAGCTACAGAGTTTCACAGGCAGTGCATTGTTCAAAGCTTCTTAAACCGCTCCTTTCGCAAGCTTCTCTGCCTCCCTCCTGGAAACTCACTGTATATAGATCCATAGTGCAAGCCACTCTTACGTATGCTATGGATAGCGAACTCCTTTCTCAGGCGCAACTTACCAAGCTCAGTTCTGTTCACTTCAAGTCTATACGTAGGGTCTTCAAGGTTAAGTCTTCCTACTATCACAGAATCCTCGAGCCTTCGGAAGCAGAATGCTCTAACGACTGCCTTGCCGGCCTGGCTTTCAGGTCTAAGCGTGTTATCACCCCTTCTCAAATTTATTCGCATGATCGACTCCGACTGTTTGGTCATATGTTAAGGCACCCCGATTCGCTAGAGTTCCACGCGGCCTTTATGATTCTGGAGCCTACAGGTTTACTTCAGGGCCCAATAGATCCGGCCGACCAAGACTCCATTGGACAGAGTCCTGTATGGTGGAATCCTCCAATCGGATTGAGTACGTCCTTTCGGACTTCCCTCCTATGCATTCAGACATCCACAATTCCTATTTTGAAATTCCGAGCGCTGGCTCGGTAAGAGCGGCCCACTCAGGCTAAAGCTCGGTGTGGATGGACAATACTCTTTTATATCGCAAGGCAAAAAATTTTGCCTCAAATACAGCTAATTGGAATAGATTACTCCATAAACCAAGGCGTGCATGATTTCTCAAACTTTGTAGCCCTAAAGCTGAGTCTTTTCGTCGGTGCTGACGGGCTTAAGAGCAAGCCTTGCGCAGAGGAAAAAAGAATGACTTCGGGGTCGTACTCTAAGGCATCCAACACCTGGGACACGCTCATTTCACATCATTTTGTCACGTCGAGCGTAACACAATGAAAGCCGATCGCGGTCTGGCAGGCAGCAAGTCATCCACCTTCGAGGATGCTGCGCGCACGGCGGAGCCTCTGAAAATCTGTCTGGCTACTCTTGCAAGGACAGTCGACGGCTCTCAGGGTTGGACCAATTCTCCCATTCATGATGCATGCTGCCCTCGAATCGATGCACCTGTAGCACAAAGCAGGCCTGCATTTGTTTGGTGTACTAGGCTTTAGGAGCAGAAGCGGTCTATGCTGGACCAAGCTGGCTTTGGTAGATTGCAAGCCAGCCTGTAGTTCGCTGATGAGCTGTTCCAAGCCCAATACTTTGTCAGCCTCTCCGATGTGGATCATGCTTTTCAGGGCTATGAAATGCCATTGTACAGTACATCCTTCTGTACTATTCCTTACGTACCCGAACTCGTGTATGGCAAGCTCCCTGTGTCTGCAAGATATCAGACAAATTTTCTGCAAAGCACGTTATTTTGGACACGCGTGCCCTGATCTGGATCTGCTTCATTTTGTCGTTGAGGGCGTTGCGAGGAAAGCCAGAATGCGTGTTCGATTGTCATGTTGGACTTGAGCAGCAAATGCTTTCCGTCATCCCGCTAATCGGCTCAGAGTTCATTCCGCAATCTGGAGGCATCCCGTAATGCATTACGTAAGGCATTACAATTAGAATGCGTTAGTCTGACTTGACTAGGACTAAAACTGCACTGTGATTTACGCGATGCGCAGCCGATCAAGCCGTAACACCGCCATCCACTTGAGATCGCAAATCGGATCTGCTGAATGGACCCCGCACCAAGTCTTTGACCGTCCGGAAGAATTTGAGAAGGCTCATGTTGGTAAAAACTCCATGCCCAGGGGGCGAAGTTGAGTCCTGCAAGCTGAAGGTCCTGGGCCCGATCTGCACCAGGCTCGTTTTGAGTCTTTGGGGGGCAGTGAGAATGCCCGCAGCGGTGGTGGGGGTGGGTTGCCCTCACAGGCTCGGAGGGGCTTTGAGTATTCAGGATGGTAGTAGGTTTTGCGTGTCTTGGTTTCATTGCATGGCTGCCAACCTGTACTGTAGTGGCCTAGATCACTGCCAATGCAATGCTTCTAGAATCCTTCTCGATCGTGGTCTAGGGTACCTCCAAGGAACTTCTTGCTGGTAATTAATTGGGCCCCTATATTGCCCAAAAGCCCTCAACCCTTGCGCCGCAAAGCGGCAAAATCCGCCGAGGCCCCTGGCCTCTGGTTTTTGGGGAGCAATACTCTACCCGCCCCCCCGTCGTCGGCAGGCACACTCCTTCTTTCCCATGACTGCACGAGTATTCTCGATTTTTGACCCTGACCCCCCGCCCCCCCCCGGCGGCCCCTGCCAGCCCCCTCCACCCATCCCTTCGGCCTTTCTGTCCTGCACTCTCACAGCTATTCTGCTACGACTTGCTCTGCTTCATGCTGTCTGTCCTCCTCCGCCGCCGACCGCTGCTCGAGCCGGCCGAGGCGGAGCGCGGT